TCTGGTCACTAGGCCCTTGGCCCATGGTCTATGACGATGTCGCCTAGCGCGTGTCCGAGGTCACTCCGCGCTGTGATGTCGAGCTCAAGCTCGGCATAGCGGTATGGATAGTACACCTACTAATTCACAAATTACCCTAAACACAAACCAAAGACAACCTTATAACAAACTCACACTTGCTTTTATGACTGAGAGAAGATCCAAAGGACTTTGTTATTTCTGTGATGAACCATATAGCCCTACACATGCATTGACACATAAGAAACGTGAAATTCATGTTTTGGAAGTGAGTGATACTGAGGAGGAAATCATATATCAGCTTGATGACACTCAGAAAGATGGTAGTACTTCTTTGGACCCTCAAATATTAGTTAATGCACTGATTGGTATAAGAAATTGGGTTATCCTATAATACATACTTATTGACTATGGAAGTACCCATAATTTTTTTGATGAAGAGGTGGCTAAGAAATTGGGTTATCCTATAATAGATATTCTTACCTTAAGTATGGCACTAGCTGATGGAGCTTGAGTAAACATTACTGCTATTGCTAAGCAATTTCCTTGGACAATTCAAAACACAGGATTTACCTTAGATATGCTTCTTATACCATTGGGATGTTGTGATGTGGTGCTAGGAATTGAGTGGCTGGTTACTCTAGGGAACATTACCTGGAATTTTAATAGCTTGTCCATGCAATTTTATGTTTAAGGTAAGAAGCTGGTATTGAAAGGAGCAACAACTGAAAGGCTAAAGATTTCCAGAAAAAAACAATTACAAAAGACAATTACCTCTGGTGTGCATTTGTCTATGTTGCAATTGTGTGACAAGGATAATAGTTTCCTACTGCATTCACTAACTACACATGCAGACAATCAAGTTATTCTTGAATCTATAGATGAATTATTATTGCAATTTGAGGATATTTTCCAAGAACCTACCATACTGCCACCTAAGAGAAAAGGTCATGATCATAAAATTCTCTTGGTTGTAGGAGCTAATCCTATTAATAAGAGGCCTTATAGGTATGCTAAGCAACAAAAAGATGTTATTGACAAGTTGGTGCAAGATTCTCTTAAGTCTGGTATTATACAAAAAAGTAGCAGTCCTTTTGCAAGTCCTATTGTCCTAGTTGGCAAGAAAGATGGCTCTTGGAGATTCTGTGTTGATTACAGAGATCTTAATAAGCAAACAATTAAAGACATGTCCCCTATTCCTTTAATGGATGATCTTTTAGATGAGTTACACGGTTCTATGGTGTTTTCGAAAATTGATTTACGATCAAGTTATAACCAAGTGAGAATGGAGAACAGTGATATCCATAAGACTGTATTTAAGACACATAGAGGCCACTTTGAGTACTTGGTCATGCCATTTGGCCTAACTAATGCACCAACCACCTTCTAAGGTCTCATGAATGATGTCTTTAAAGAATATTTGAGATGGTTTCTTTTGGTGTTTTTGATGATATCTTAATATACAACAAGGATTTGCAACACCATCTCTCACATTTGCATTAGTATTGTTGACTATGAGAAGGAATTCTTTGTACGCTAAAAAATCTAAATGCTACTTTGGTGTAGAAATAGTTGAGTATTTAGGCCATTTTATACAAAGGATGGTGTATCGACTAACCCTACAAAAATCATGGCTGTCAAGAACTGGCCAATACCAACATCTTTGAAGCAGTTGAGGGGATTTTGGGACTTGCAGGGTACTATAGAAGGTTTGTTTGAGGGCATGGTGGTATTGCAAGGCCTTTAACTAACATGTTAAGAAAAATAATTTCCACTGGTCTAAAGAGGCAAAAGCCGCATTTTAGTCCCTCAAGGATAGTTTGATCCAATCACCAGTATTAGCATTACCTGACTTCTCTAAGGTGTTTGTGGTTGAGGTTGATGCTTCAGGTTATGGAATCAATGTTGTACTGATGCAAAGTCATCACCCAATTGCTTTTATTAGCAAGGTCCTTAATATGCAACAACAATCACTTTCCACATATGAAAAGGAATTGTTAGCAGTAGTCTTTGTAGTCCAAAAGTGGAGGCGTTATTTGTTGAATACTCACTTTATTATCAAAATAGACCACAAAAGCCTGCAATATATACTAAGTCAAAGATTGACTATAGTCTTTCAACAAAAATGGTTGGTGAAATTGATGGAATTTGATTTTACAATTGAATTCAAACAGGGAAGAGAAAATTTAGCGGTAGATGTTTTATCAAGATAGGAAGCAGTAGACTATTAGGCAATCACAACACTCATACTTGAAAGCAACATGTTGAATAGAATCATAGGCTCTTGGCAGGCTGATCTGGACATTCAAAAATTGATCCAAGATTTGCAAACAGGTGTTTCATCACATAAGCATCATACTTGGAATCATAATGAACTCAAAAGGAAGGGAAGATTGGTAGTTGGGAAAGATGTTACCTTACAGACTGATTTGTTACAATGGGTACATGCTGGTTCTACTAGTGGCCACTCGGGTAGAGAAGCTACATTGAAAAGGTTGAAATCAGTTGTGTATTGGAGAGGCATGACCAAGGATGTCAGAAGATTTGTGCTAACATGTGAAGTCTGCTAGAAATGTAAATATGACAAATTTGCGTATCCAAGTTTGCTACAACCCTTACCAATTCTAGAGAGGATATGACAACATATAACCATGGATTTTATTGAAGGACTGCCAAATTCCAAGGGAAAACTAGTGATCTATGTGGTAATGGATAGATTAAGAAAGACTGCCCACTCCATGTCCCTACACTGCTACTGAAGTTGCTCAATCTTTCTTGGACAATGTGTTCAAGTTACATGGTTTTCTAGACTCCATCCCCAAACTGATGGTCAATCCGAGGTTGTGAATAGATGTTTGGAGACATTCTTGAGTTGTATGTGTTTTTATGCTCCTCATGAGTGGTCTAAATGGCTTCCTCTAGTAGAATGGTGGTGCAATACCAACCATCATACTACCATACAGTGCTTTCCTTATGAGGTTATGTTTGGCCAACCTCCTCCAATTTACCTTCCTTATTTACCGAGGGAGTCAAAGGTGGAGGTAATTGATAAAAGTTTGCGGAAAAAAGAGGAGGCATTAAAGTTAGTAAAATTTCACAAGAAAAGGGCTCAAGAAAGAATGAAACAATTGGCAGATAAGAAGAGAAGTGATAGATCCTATGAAATTGGTGATTTTGTGTATGTCAAGCTCCATCCATACAAGCAGATTTCAGTAGCATTTAGACCTAATGCCAAACTAGCACCTAAATACTTTGAGCCATTTTTGATCAAAGATAAGATTGGAGTTGTAGCTTACAAGCTGAAGCTTCCACAGAATCCATGATGTTTTTCATGTTTCACATCTTAAAAGGCATGTTGGTGAGACACCGGTTTCAAGTTCCTTTCCTACATATTCAAATGATGTTATAGAAGACAAAGAACCTGAGAGAATTCTAGATAGAACAACTGTCAAGAGAGGCAACAAAGCTGTCACCAAGGTGTTAGTCAAGTGGAAGCACTAGTTAACAAAGGATGCGACTTGGGAGTTCTTCTTTAATTTAAAAAGTATCCAGATTTTCATCCTTGAGTATAAGAATTTTTGAAGGAAGAGGAATTGATGTAGGAAGTTAATAAGGAAGCCACGTGACTACCAATCAATTTAATTTTAATAATTCTTTTAGGATTTCCAATTTTTGTGTTTTTAATTGTTTTAGTTAGTTGGTGCAATACACCTCTATAAATAACTAACTCTAAATCAAGCTTGTCAAATTTTTGAAACTATATTCTTGTAATCATTTTCTCAATTCAATATACAATTCTTCATATTCATCTTTTGAAATTCTTAAATTCTGTAAGTTCTTTGAATAATTCCTAGTCCTAGAACTACCTTCATCATAAAAAAAACTAAATATTCTCTGTTTAATAGTATATTATTTTCTTAACATGTGTCGCGTTAAAAAAAAAAACCATAACCTTTGATTATTTTGTTCCTCGTTCCCACTTCCCACGCGACGATCACTCACGTGCTGAGAGTGTGATGTATGCTGTGGGTCGCCATTCGACATGTGGCACCTTTAGGATCATATGTTTCACGTTTAATTTTTTATTTATTTAATGTTTCATGTTTAATTAACTCTTCTAAAATAGAGAACTTACTTTAAAAATAAAGTCAAAAAGTTATATCAGTTATCAACTAAAATATTAAATTAAAATTTAAATTGTTACATAACTCATTACATAAAATAATAACTGCTATATATATATATATGATATTTATTTAATAATTATATTGTTCACTTTATTTTTCTTTAAAAGAAATAGCTTACTTTAAAGAAACAATATATCATTACCAAAGAAAATTCAATATGACACTGTATAATTTATATTTACTCTCTCTTATTTATTTATTTTTTTTACAGAAGTTTATATTTACTTTCCTATTCTTTATGCATTATCGAGTATTGTTTTTTAATTATTTTTGACAGGATTGAGTATTTTTTTATTTATAAAAACTAATATAAAATGTCACTTTTACTATTTATGAAAAAATATTTTTAATTAAATTATTTTTTTAATCTAATAAGTTAAGAATTTTATTAATATCAGGATAATTTTAATATATATATATATATATTAGATTAAGACGAATAAAATTATTTTAATATATTAAAATAATATATATATATATATTAAAATAATTTTATTCGTCTTAATCTTATTTATATATATATATATATATAATTAAGACAAGTTTTATCAATTAAATTAGCCAGTTTTCCTAATAATTTTGGTAATAAATTCTTATAAGAAAGACAGGAACAATAATTTCTATCTATATAAACATTTTATAAAATTTACTAATTAAAATTTATTTTACATATATTATTTAAATAATTATTATAAAAATCATCAACTCTATAATCTAATCTATCATTGGATATTACTATATTAGTGCAATTTATTTAATTTAACCCTTGTAATAAGTAATAACAATACATAAACTGCACGATTGGTGGATGAGTGGAGCAACACAACACAACGTTTCAACCATGGCCACGTTACAGTGCAATTCTCTTGCACTCAACAAGCCTTGTTACCCCATAAGAAGACCCTTCTCGCAACCCGTTTTCTCTTCCACCCCTTTTGTTCCAACCACTTCAATCTGCACAAGTTCCACTACCTCAAATTCAAGGTCAGTTTTTAATGATCAGTGTTCATGGTTTCGTTGTAGTTTAAGGTTTAAAATTGGAAGAATGGTCAATGAATGATGCAATTCATTTGCAGGCGGGGTTATGCTGTTTCTGCTGTCGTGTCCGAAGAGAACACAGTTGACTCCTCTTTCTCTGCAGCTGATGTCTTCAAACTCACCTATTTAGAGGTAACTTTTACCTGTTATGTAGAGATAACAGAAAAGGTAGAATAAGAAATGTTTGAAATTTTAATTAAGGAGAATATTTTGTGGTTATTTATGATAGCAAAGAATGAAAGCAGAAAACGTTTTCTCAAATTTAAACAAAATCTTGGCTTGTTTAAGTTTGGTTACTTTGCACTTTCCTTTGACAAGGTGAAGTGTTGGATTTAGGGAAACAGTTGGCTCTGGAATGTGGGTGGGACGAACATATTGGTTGATCCAATTTTGGTGGGAAACTTAGATTTTGGAATTCCTTGGCTATATGATGCTGCTAAGAAAGTGTTAAAGAAGTTCCAGGTATCTTTTCATGCATGCTAGCTACTTGTTGATTGTGATTACCTCTTTGTTATTGTTGTTTGTTGTCACGTTCTTTAACTTCACCTTGTGTAAATTCATGATCTTGCTATTACCTCTGTGCTTCTTCTATAGTGCAGCTCGATGATCTTCCAGAAATCAATTGTGTACTCATTACTCAAAGCCTTGATGATCACTGTCATTTGAAGACCTTAAGGCCCTTCTCTCAGAAATTCCCAAATATTAGAGTTATAGCAACTCCTAATGCCAAGGGCTTGTTGGATCCTCTCTTGTTTAAGTTTGGTTACTTTGCACTTTCCTTTGACAAGGTGAAGTGTTGGATTTAGGGAAACAGTTGGCTCTGGAATGTGGGTGGGACGAACATATTGGTTGATCCAATTTTGGTGGGAAACTTAGATTTTGGAATTCCTTGGCTATATGATGCTGCTAAGAAAGTGTTAAAGAAGTTCCAGGTATCTTTTCATGCATGCTAGCTACTTGTTGATTGTGATTACCTCTTTGTTATTGTTGTTTGTTGTCACGTTCTTTAACTTCACCTTGTGTAAATTCATGATCTTGCTATTACCTCTGTGCTTCTTCTATAGTGCAGCTCGATGATCTTCCAGAAATCAATTGTGTACTCATTACTCAAAGCCTTGATGATCACTGTCATTTGAAGACCTTAAGGCCCTTCTCTCAGAAATTCCCAAATATTAGAGTTATAGCAACTCCTAATGCCAAGGGCTTGTTGGATCCTCTTTTCAGAAATGTAAGTACACACACACACACACACACACACATATATATATATATATATATTCTACTACTCTCTTTTGGCTGGTGAAAACCAGTATATATATTTGAATTTGATCCTTTGGCTTAATTACTTCATCTTGATATATCTAATATAGTTTGATTGCACATAAATGTTGGTTTGAGGATTTTGAATGATTCAATTGTCTGCTGTGGATGAGTAAATTATCATATCATACTGAAGTGATTTAAATTGTTCTAAAGGGGAGCCACCTCTGCTATGTTCATCATTTGTTATGCTTTGAAGAAGCTGATATGAGAACTTCTGATACAGAAGCACTTGATTGGTTTTCATTGTTGGATACCAAGATAAAGTGATGAAACCTAAACCTTAGCTCATTTGAATGAAAATCTTACTGTTTCTGATCCTTAATTATTTCTTCATGACAAAGAAGGCATTCTTTGTTTGAATATTTAACAAACTTGGAAGGAAATGAGGCTCTTTTCACCCCCCCAACCTTCTGTCTCTTTTAATATCTCAAACTCACTAAAGAGCATGCTGCACTGAGATTCTTGATATGAGAAGAGCATGTAAAAAACTAATAGATCCAAAATGTTTTCAAAAGCATGTGAAAAATGAACTGAAAGACGAGAAATAATAATAATAAAAAAAAGCTCTTTATCATATTAAATATGAATGCAGGAGTACAAGTCTGATACTATATGGCTGGAAAACACTTTCCTCTGATTTAAAGTGGAGACACTTCTCTCTTATCAGTCTGGCTTTTAGGAGTGGCTCTGCTCTACATCCCATACAATAAGCATGTGGTTCTCTGATGTAGATCAGCAGTAGGAAACCAAGTAAATAATCTTAAGACTTAAATTTTTTATATCTAATAATCGATAATAAGCTTTTATCCCTATGCTATGATAGATAATATGCCATATATAGGTGACTCAATGCACCCTTAATCTAATAAGACAAGCAACACAAACTTAAGACCAAGTAATCCCAATTTAAAACAGGAAATAAAGTCATAATCCAACTAGGGATAAGATATTGCATGATCGTTATTCCAATTTGCAATTACATAATAAATGAATACTATTTCTTGTCCTAATTACTACAAATTAGATTTTTCTTTGATCCTAATTATAAGCAATAATCATTAGTTTTTAAAGTTACTCAAGGTTAAATATCTTGTATTCCCTTCATTTATTGTTAACTCTATTTTCTATGCATTCACTTATAACTAACATTAAATATAACAACCACTTAAAGTAAAGAGTGTATAAAATTAATTAAAAGTAATCATATTAATTACTTTTCTTAATCTTGATGATTTGTCATATGTTGCTTATAATTAGGACTAGAGGTAGTATAATACATAAAATTTATCTTCTTATCCAGCAATACTATGATAATTACATCATGTGCATGTTTTTGGAAGTAGTTTCTCATAGTTGTGGCCTTGTGAGTAGTTTCATATATATGTTTATACTATATAAGTGATATATTGACATCATTAAGTTGACAAATGTTAGCTCAAATGCCATTAAGTTTTTCAGTTCAAGTAGATATTCTCTAATTTATGAATGTTTTAGAGTTGAAGGAATAAAATAATAGATTTTGACAAAATTATCCAGCTGTCCTTGTTGATTCTTATAAGCACTATATAACTCTCAATTCAAAAATGAAAAGTCTACCTCCTGTATCCTTTCATTCCAATAACCTCCATCCACACATACCCATGTGACAAAGATAATAGTTTTTTGGGTGAATTTAGTGCTCCCTTGGAATGTTAGTTTCTCTAAAGAAGATGATTGATATGCTTGAATTGTATTGTGTTCTATTGATTCTTATACTGTGCACAACTACTTGTGTTTTTGTCCTCTTTCTCCACCATTTATATAATTATGCCTTCTTTTCCCCAATCCTTCATCTAGTTGTTGTTTACTTTCCAGTTGCCAGACCCCACTTTAAATCTGCGCATCATATCCTGTCTACATTTAGCATGGACCGAGTCATAATTGAATCTTTGGTTTTCCACTCAAGTTTTCACTTAGTCTCATTCATTTTCAGGTTACGTATTTAGAACCTGGACAGAGTTCTGATATTGAAACAAATTACGGTTCTAAGGTTAGTGTTAAGGCTACAGCAGGACCAGTTCTTGGACCTCCTTGGCAACGCCCTGAGAATGGGTAAATACTGTTGAAGCTTCTGTAGTATGCCTTTGTGTTTTAGGTTTTATATCCACCTTATTTGTTGATGAATTATCCTTTCATAGTTTCATTGAAATGCTATTTAACAGAATTTAATGGTTTTCTGCTGCATGTGTCATAGGTATCTTGTTAGATCCCCACAGGGCCAGTTGTCTCTCTACTACGAACCCCACTGTGTATATAATCAAAGTTTCGTTGAGAAGGAAAAGGCAGATATTGTGATAACACCAGTCATAAAGCAACTTTTGCCCAATTTTACCTTGGTTTCAGGACAAGAAGATGCAGTGAAACTTGCAAAGCTGCTTCAAGCCAAGTAAACTTTTGTATTTACGGGCAGCATCACAAAAAAAAAAAGAAAAGGAAAACGATGCTATTCAATTCAAATTTGTCATTCTAACAGACCCAAAACGATTCATTAATGGAAATGACTGAAATATGAAAATTTGTAACTTCTGATACTAGAACTAAAATTACTACATTTACTTAGAAATAAAAAACAAACAAGGTATTTGTATGAATAAGTTTTTGGGGCCCGAAGAAAGGAAATTTTATGTAAAAGGTATTTCCAATTTTGGGGCAATGAACCACTCAAGTAGTTGAATTCATCAATTAGTAGTTACTCCATCTGTTTCAAAACTTTAGTTCTTTTAGTTTTTTAGTTTTGTTTCAACACTTTGGTTCTTTTAGGATTCTAATATATCTTTATGTAATTTTTTTCAATTATACTTTTATATGTTGTTGAATAATTAAGAGTAGTTTAAGTGGAGCATTAATGTTACTTTTGAATGGAGAAGTAATAAATGAAGGTAATTTAGTCTAAATGTATATGATAAATGTTTCTTAATCTGTGTACAGAGCTACAAGAACCAAAGTTTTGAAACGGAGAGAGTACTCCTTAACTCCTCTTTGAATATCTTTTATTGGTTGAATGGTTGATTGTTCCTAATTTGGAAACAATTTCATGAAGTCTTTTTGGTGATTTTCCCAGTAATATTGGTTCCTTTGGAATAATACATTTGAACTTAAGCTCATTTTAGTGATTTTGACCTTTTTAAATTTCTTGTTTGAAGTGTAATTGTATTTAATGTTCTTAACATAGATGATGTTTCCTTGTTTGATAGGTTCATTGTGCCAATGAAAAATGGAGACCTAGATAGCAAAGGGCTTCTTGCAAGCTTAGTTAGGGGGGAAGGAACAGTTGAATCATTTAAGGTTAGATCCTTTTCAATTGTTGTTGATAAATTGCTATATATATCATTTCTGTTAAGTCCATTAAAAATGATAATTTTTTCACTCTAAGTAACAGTAACCTATTGGATCCTGGAAAGCAGAGGCATGTTGAGTGAATTATGATAGATAAATTGCTTGAACAGAGGGAATGTTCTGGCTTTGAGAACATAATGAATGTGTCACTTTCTTCGGTGCTTCCAGCATGAATCTGGGGTGGTTACTGCCAAAATTAGAAGCTTTATTGTGGGTAATGAATAATTATAGGTGGTTGTCCAATGTCTACAAGAGCCATTCGAAGAAAGCCTGTGACAATGAATTTGAGGACTCTTTCTCACATGATTTTTTAGCTTTCGTTCAATCTTCAACTTGTTTGATCAGCTTTACCTTCTTCCTTCCAGCTCACCTCCCCAAGTAGCAAGCTATTTTGTGGGTTATGTTTGGAGGTTGCTTGGTTCTCTCTTGAGTCCTCTGAAAGAAGCCCAAGGCAATGAATCTTATGATACTTTACACACTATGCTTTCTAGCTCTTATGTTCAATCTTCAAGTGGCGTATCAGTTTTAAGTTTTTTTTTTTTTTTTTTCAAGCTTGACCATTTCCCTAGAAACAGAAGCCTGAATGGTGGTAGCCATTGATAATCACCTGGTTCTATAGGAGTCTTTTGGAGAAACCTTGAGAAAACAAATAAGAGCATACTAATAAGGCCAAGCCTTGCACAGGGATATTCAAGATTACTACAACTTTAAAGTCGTCCATAACATAGAAAGCACATGCTTTCTTTTACTAATAATACAAGACAATGTATTTAGAGGTTAGGAATTTAAAGAGTAAAAGTGAACTTAGAGAATGAAACAACTTCTTATTCAGGAAAATGTAGTAATGTATAGGTTTTGCATATCATTCATATATATAATATATTAATAGGCATAGTGGAGACTATTTTCTAGGCTACTATTAATTAAGTGGAACTTCCTAGAAACTAGTACCCATGACCACTAAATATATAGAAACATGGATACATAAACATTATTTCCTAAGTACCTAAATATCATTATTTCCAACAGACAACAAGCCCATGCCCACCTTATAACTCATAACTATTTAATACCTCTGCAATAAGTCTTCTGCTTTCTATATATCAAGATAAGTGGTATCTGCTTTATAGTTACAACACTGAGACGTGGCAGAAACTTATGGGTCTGACAAACCACTTTCAATGATGCCAATAGTCCTAATGTTGATTGAGTCCTAATAGAACTGACATAGGATATATGAAGTAGTTTGAATGACTATTGGAGCATGACCATGTTTCTTGCCTTTATGGATGACTATGTTAAGTTGATTATTGTTTATTGGACCATACTCACCATAGTTTGGATGTTCCTTTTTTGAAACAAATAATATATGATGTTCTTTATAGTTGTTTTAGTGTACTTTTGGAGTTGTAATATTCAAGTACCATGTGGTAATATTTAAATACTTCCATATCAGTAGCAAATCATTTGAAATTGCCAGCGTGAATATTCAAATATTAAGATGTAGCACTCGAATTTTATGAAGTCAGTAGCCAGTCATTTTGTTCATGAGTATAATTTCATCAGAATTATAATTTGATATCATAGGCAGATATATACTGGGAAAGATATGTATTAAAAAAAAGAAAGTTTGCAGAGGCTCACCTAATAGATGAAAAATCGAAGGCAACATTGTAAGGCCTGATGTCTTAGTGTTAAATACTTGTGGTTGTCAAAGTATTTATTGAGCAAGAGATCTCAAAGAATGAGAGGAGGGTATTTTATTAAAGGCAGAGCTAATTGAACACTCCCAACGTACCTTACTGCATGTTACATGAATGCTTTTGTAAAGGGCTGAGATAAATTACAGTAATAAAGGATAGTGGAGACTAGTAGCTCCTAAGAAATTTGACAAAAAAATTCTTAATTTAAAAAAAAAAAGGAAATACAGGATGGAAATTAAAACAGAAACAAAATAACAATGAGGTCCTAGACACAAGGAACTCCCACTATCCAACCCTTTGACCTTTCCCTCTAGAGTCCAGACCACCCCTTAAAATCCATTTGATCTTTCTCTCTCCACACTAATTCTCAATCATTCCCTCTGATTCTTTCCATTTACAACCTCCCAGCATTCTTTTCGTATAACAGAATCTTCTTTTGTCAATCTAGAATCTCTAACACATGACTGAAGACATCTCTTGTTCGTAGGTTGTGGTGTACATTTGTCCTTTTTGAGACACTTGTGTGCTCCTTCTATTAATGAGTTTCATTTCTACATGTTAATGTAATCGTCTTTCTTTCTTTTACACCTTGTGTAAAGTGAGAAAGTAAAGATGTCTGTGTTGTTCAATTGAATTAAAGTGATTTGCAAACTTACTGAAATTACTAGTATGTGCACCCGTATTTTCTCAATTTACACACCTCACTCTAGAGGGGATTCAAATCCGTGGTGATTTTTATTCAGTTTTTTTTTTTTTTTTTTTTTTTTTTTTTAATCTTTA